GAGTCTGACCCCCAGGAAAGGGTTTAAATCCAGAGTTTACCCCCAAGGAAGGGTTTAAATCCAGAGTTTACCCCCAGGAAAGGGTTTAAATCCAGTCTAAGACCCCCAAGGAAGGGTTTAAGCCCAAGGAGAGGCTCTAAGATCTCCAGGGGAGGAGCTGCTTTTCCGCAGAGGAAAGCCTGGAGGTGCCAAAGCTTTGCTGTAATCTCGATTTCCTTGATTTTTTTACTTTATCTGGCTTTTTTTAAAACGACTTTTTGTAAAAATCGAAACGTTTTCGACATGCCCCCGGCGCCACACGTGGATCAGCTCTGCTCCATGTGGGAATTCCAAGCTGGGATAAAAAAATAAAAATAAAAAAACAATCCCTTGGATCCTCCTCATCCCATCCAGCTGCTGGGCTTGGGGAGGGGAGGAAAAAATTCCCTCCAGGCCTCTCCAAAGATGCAAAAAATTAATTTTGGGAGCGGCAAACGGGGATCAAAACCTGGGAAGATGCCGGGCCCAGCTGGGTTTTCCATCTGCTTTTCCAGGCGAGACGGTGTCGCTGGTGGACGTGGACATTTCCCAGCGAGGGCTCGGCTCCCCGCAGCCGCCGACGCCGCCGCCGCCGCCCCGCCGGAGCCTCAGCCTGCTGGGTACGGCCCGGAACGGGGCTGGGAGACTGGGAACGGGCCTGGGAGACTGGGAATGGGGCTGGGAGACTGGGAATGGGGCTGGGAGACTGGGAACGGGAGACTGGGAATGGGGCTGGGAGACTGGGAAGGGGGCTTGGGAATGGAGCTTGGGAACTGGGAATGGGGCTGGGAGACTGGGAATGGGGATGGGAAACTGGGAATGGGGCTGGGAGACTGGGAATGGGGCTGGGAGACTGGGAATGGGAGACTGGGAATGGGGCTGGGAGACTGGGAATGGGAGACTGGGAACGGGGCTGGGAGACTGGGAACGGGAGACTGGGAATGGGGCTGGGAGACTGGGAATGGGAGACTGGGAATGGGGATGGGAGACTGGGAATGGGGCTGGGAGACTGGGAATGGGGATGGGAGACTGGGAATGGGGCTGGGAGACTGGGAATGGGGCTGGGAGACTGGGAATGGGAGACTGGGAATGGGGCTGGGAGACTGGGAATGGGGCTGGGAGACTGGGAATGGGGATGGGAGACTGGGAACGGGGCTGGGAGACTGGGAATGGGGCTGGGAGACTGGGAATGGGGCTGGGAGACTGGGAATGGGGCTTGGGGAATGGGGCTGGGAGACTGGGAATGGGGATGGGAGACTGGGAATGGGGCTTGGGAATGGTCCTTGGGGACTGGGAATGGTGCTGGGAGACTGGGAATGGAACTTGGGAATGGAACTTGGGAACTGGGAATGGTACTTGGGAATGGTCCTTGGGAACCTGGAGATGGTCCTTGGAGCCTTGGGATGGAACTTGGGAACCTGGGAATGGTGCTTGGGAACTGGGAATGGTCCTTGGGAACTGGGAATGGTCCTTGGAGCCTTGGGAATTGCCAGTGGAAACCTGGGAATGATCCCTGGAGCTCTGGGAATTCCAGTGCTGGAAAAGGAATCCCTGTCCTCCAGCAGTGCCCAAACCAGAGAGGAGCTGTCACTGGGGATCCCCAGATCCCTTTTCCGGCGGTTTCCCGGTCTCTGTTGGAATTCCCAGACCCGTTTTCCAGCGGTTTCCCGGCTCCGGGGCTGGGCTGGGAATTCCTGGATCCCGTTTTCCAGCGGTTTCCCGGCTCCAGGGCTGGGCTGGGAATTCCTGGATCCCGTTTTCCAGCGGTTTCCCGGCTCCGGGGCTGGGCTGGGAATTCCCAGACCCGTTTTCCAGTGGTTTCCCGGTGTCTGTCGGGAATTCCCAGATCCCTTTTCCGGCAGTTTCCCGGTCTCTGTTGGAATTCCCAGATCCCTTTTCCGTCGGTTTCCCGGTCTCTGTTGGGATTCCCAGATCCCGTTTTCCGGCGGTTTCCCGGTCTCTGTTGGGAATTCCCAGATCCCTTTTCCGTCGGTTTCCCGGTCTCTGTTGGAATTCCCAGATCCCTTTCCTGGCAGTTTCCCGGTGTCTGTTGGGAATTCCCAGATCCCTTTCCCAGCAGTTTCCTGGTCTCTGTTGGAATTCCCAGATCCCATTTTCCGGCGGTTTCCCGGCTCCGGGGCTGTGCTGGGAATTCCCAGACCCGTTTTCCGGCGGTTTCCCGGCTCCGGGGCTGTGCTGGGAATTCCCGGATCCCGTTTTCCGGCGGTTTCCCGGCTCCGGGGCTGTCGGTTCCCGCTCTCCTGAGCCGTTTCTCTCTCCCAGATGATTTTGGCGGATCGCTGCTGCCTCCGGTGCTCCTGGGGCCCGCTGGCTCCTCGCTGCAAAGCTTCCGGCCGCCGCCGCCGCCGCACGCCGCAGGTCAGCCCCGGAGCCGGGAATTCCGCCCTTCCCGCCGGGAATTCCGCCCTTCCCACCGGGAATTCCGCCTCTTCCCTCCTGGAATTCCGCCCTTCCCGCCGGGAATTCCGCCCTTCCCGCCGGGAATTCCGCCTTTTCCCTCCTGGAATTCCGCCCTTCCCGCCGGGAATTCCGCCTTTTCCCTCCTGGAATTCCGCCCTTCCCGCCGGGAATTCCGCCTTTTCCCTCCTGGAATTCTGCCCTTCCCGCCGGGAATTCCGCCTTTTCCCTCCTGGAATTCCGCCCTTCCCGCCGGGAATTCTGCTTTTTCTTTCCTTGGTATTCCGCTTTTCCCTCCTGGAATTCCGCCTCTTCCCTCCTGGAATTCTGCCTCTTCCCTTCATGAGTTCTGCTTTTTTTTTCCCTTGGTATTCCGCTTTTCCCTCCTGGAATTCCGCCTCTTCCCTCCTGGAATTCTGCCTTTTCCCTCCAGGAATTCTGCTTTTTTTTCCCTTGGTATTCCGTCCTTCCCTCCTGGAATTCCGCCCTTCCCTCCTGGAATTCTGCCTTTTCCTTCCTGGAATTCTGACTTTCCCCTCCTGGAATTCCACCTTTTTCCTCCTGGAATTCCACCTTTTCCCTCCTGGAATTCCATCATTCCCCTCCTGGAATTCCACCTTTTCCCTCCTGGAATTCCCACTTTTTCCCTCCTACAATCTCCAGGTGTCTCTGGGTGACAGTGACAGTGACCCTGGCTGTCTCGGTGTGACAACAGTGGTGACAATGACAATGACCTGTCTGTGTCTGGGTGACAGTGACAGTGACCCTGGGCTGTCTCTGGGTCACAATGACAACGATCCGGCTGTCTGTGTGTGACAGTGACAATGACAACGACCCGGCTGTCTGTGTGTGACAGTGACAATGACAACGATCCGGCTGTCTGTGTGTGACAGTGACAATAACAAAGATCCGGCTGTCTGTGTGTAATGGTGACAATGACAACGACCCGGCTGTCTGTGTGTGACAGTGACAATAACAACGATCCGGCTGTCTCTGTGTAA